AGATACACCTGCTCCCGAACCCCTTACCAGAGACACACCTGCTCCCGAACCCTCCCCAGAAACACACCTGCTCCCGAACCCTCCCCAGAAACACACCTGCTCCCGAACCCTCCCCAGAAACACACCTGCTCCCGAACCCTCCCCAGAGACACACCTGCTCCCGAACCCTCCCCAGAGACACACCTGCTCCCGAACCCTCCCCAGAAACACACCTGCTCCCGAACCCTCCCCAGAGACACACCTGCTCCCGAACCCTCCCCAGAGATACACCTGCTCCCGAACCCTCCCCAGAAACACACCTGCTCCCGAACCCTCCCCAGAGACACACCTGCTCCCGAACCCTCCCCAGAGACACACCTGCTCCCGAACCCCTTCCCAGAGATACACCTGCTCCCGAACCCTCCCCAGAGACACACCTGCTCCCAAACCCTCCCCAGAAACACACCTGCTCCCGAACCCTCCCCAGAGACACACCTGCTCCCGAACCCTCCCCAGAGATACACCTGCTCCCGAACCCTCCCCAGAAACACACCTGCTCCCGAACCCTCCCCAGAGATACACCTGCTCCCGAACCCTCCCCAGAAACACACCTGCTCCCGAACCCTCCCCAGAACACACCTGCTCCCGAACCCCTTCCCAGAGATACACCTGCTCCCGAACCCTCCCCAGAGATACACCTGCTCCCGAACCCCTTCCCAGAGATACACCTGCTCCCAAGCCCTCCCCAGAGATACACCTGCTCCCGAACCCCTCCCCAGAGATACACCTGCTCCCGAACCCTCCCCAGAGATACACCTGCTCCCGAACCCTCCCCAGAACACACCTGCTCCCGAACCCCTTCCCAGAGACACACCTGCTCCCGAACCCTCCCCAGAAACACACCTGCTCCCGAACCCTCCCCAGAACACACCTGCTCCCGAACCCTCCCCAGAGACACACCTGCTCCCGAACCCTCCCCAGAGACACACCTGCTCCCGGACCCTCCCCAGAGATACACCTGCTCCCGAACCCCTTCCCAGAGATACACCTGCTCCCGAACCCTCCCCAGAGATACACCTGCTCCCGAACCCCTCCCCAGAGATACACCTGCTCCCGAACCCTCCCCAGAGATACACCTGCTCCCGAACCCCTTCCCAGAGATACACCTGCTCCCGAACCCTCCCCAGAGATACACCTGCTCCCGAACCCTCCCCAGAGATACACCTGCTCCCGAACCCCTTCCCAGAGATACACCTGCTCCCGAACCCTCCCCAGAGATACACCTGCTCCCGAACCCCTCCCCAGAGATACACCTGCTCCCGAACCCTCCCCAGAAACACACCTGCTCCCGAACCCTCCCCAGAAACACACCTGCTCCCGAACCCTCCCCAGAAACACACCTGCTCCCGAACCCTCCCCAGAAACACACCTGCTCCCGAACCCTTCCCAGAGACACACCTGCTCCCGAACCCTCCCCAGAGACACACCTGCTCCCGAACCCTCCCCAGAGACACACCTGCTCCCAAACGCTCCCCAGAAACACACCTGCTCCCGAACCCCCCCAGAAACACACCTGCTCCCCAACCCTCCCCAGAAACACACCTGCTCCCGAACCCTCCCCAGAAACACACCTGCTCCCGAACCCTCCCCAGAAACACACCTGCTCCCGAACCCTCCCCAGAAACACACCTGCTCCCGAACCCTCCCCAGAGACACACCTGCTCCCGAACCCTCCCCAGAAACACACCTGCTCCCGAACCCTCCCCAGAGACACACCTGCTCCCGAACCCTCCCCAGAAACACACCTGCTCCCGAACCCTCCCCAGAAACACACCTGCTCCCGAACCCTCCGCAGAAACACACCTGCTCCCGAACCCTCCCCAGAAACACACCTGCTCCCGAACCCTCTCCAGAGACACACCTGCTCCCGAACCCCTTCCCAGAGATACACCTGCTCCCGAACCCTCCCCAGAAACACACCTGCTCCCGAACCCTCCCCGGAGATACACCTGCTCCCAAACCCTCCCCAGAAACACACCTGCTCCCGAACCCTTCCCAGAGATACACCTGCTCCCGAACCCCTTCCCAGAAACACACCTGCTCCCGAACCCTCCCCAGAGATACACCTGCTCCCAAACCCTCCCCAGAAACACACCTGCTCCCGAACCCTTCCCAGAGATACACCTGCTCCCGAACCGCTTACCAGAGACACACCTGCTCCCGAACCCTCCCCAGAAACACACCTGCTCCCGAACCCTCCCCAGAGATACACCTGCTCCCGAACCCTCCCCAGAAACACACCTGCTCCCGAACCCTCCCCAGAGACACACCTGCTCCCGAACCCTCCCCAGAGACACACCTGCTCCCGAACCCTCCCCAGAAACACACCTGCTCCCGAACCCTCCCCAGAGACACACCTGCTCCCGAACCCTCCCCAGAGATACACCTGCTCCCGAACCCTCCCCAGAAACACACCTGCTCCCGAACCCTCCCCAGAGACACACCTGCTCCCGAACCCCTTCCCAGAGATACACCTGCTCCCGAACCCTCCCCAGAGATACACCTGCTCCCGAACCCCTTCCCAGAGATACACCTGCTCCCAAGCCCTCCCCAGAGATACACCTGCTCCCGAACCCCTCCCCAGAGATACACCTGCTCCCGAACCCTCCCCAGAGATACACCTGCTCCCGAACCCTCCCCAGAACACACCTGCTCCCGAACCCCTTCCCAGAGACACACCTGCTCCCGAACCCTCCCCAGAAACACACCTGCTCCCGAACCCTCCCCAGAACACACCTGCTCCCGAACCCCTTCCCAGAGATACACCTGCTCCCGAACCCTCCCCAGAGATACACCTGCTCCCGAACCCCTTCCCAGAGATACACCTGCTCCCGAACCCTCCCCAGAGATACACCTGCTCCCGAACCCTCCCCAGAAACACACCTGCTCCCGAACCCTCCCCAGAAACACACCTGCTCCCGAACCCTCCCCAGAAACACACCTGCTCCCGAACCCTCCCCAGAGACACACCTGCTCCCGAACCCTCCCCAGAAACACACCTGCTCCCGAACCCTCCCCAGAGACACACCTGCTCCCGAACCCTCCCCAGAGACACACCTGCTCCCGAACCCTCCCCAGAGACACATCTGCTCCCGAACCCTCCCCAGAGACACACCTGCTCCCGAACCCTCCCCAGAGACACACCTGCTCCCGAACCCTCCCCAGAGACACACCTGCTCCCGAACCCTCCCCAGAAACACACCTGCTCCCGAACCCTCCCCAGAGACACACCTGCTCCCGAACCCTCCCCAGAGACACACCTGCTCCCGAACCCTCCCCAGAGATACACCTGCTCCCGAACCCTCCCCAGTGACACACCTGCTCCCGAACCCTCCCCAGAAACACACCTGCTCCCGAAACCTCCCGAGAAACACACCTGCTCCCGAACCCTCCCCAGAGACACACCTGCTCCCGAACCCTCCCCAGAAACACACCTGCTCCCGAACCCTCCCCAGAAACACACCTGCTCCCGAACCCTCCCCAGAGACACACCTGCTCCCAAACCCTCCCCAGAGATACACCTGCTCCCGAACCCTCCCCAGAGACACACCTGCTCCCGAACCCTCCCCAGAGACACACCTGCTCCCGAACCCTCCCCAGAAACACACCTGCTCCAGAACCCTCCCCAGAAACACACCTGCTCCCGAACCCTCCCCAGAAACACACCTGCTCCCGAACCCTCCCCAGAAACACACCTGCTCCCGAACCCTCCCCAGAAACACACCTGCTCCAGAACCCTCCCCAGAGATACACCTGCTCCCGAACCCTCCCCAGAAACACACCTGCTCCCGAACCCTCCCCAGAAACACACCTGCTCCCGAACCCTCCCCAGAAACACACCTGCTCCCGAACCCTCCCCAGAAACACACCTGCTCCCGAACCCTCCCCAGAAACACACCTGCTCCCGAACCCTCCCCAGAAACACACCTGCTCCAGAACCCTCCCCAGAGATACACCTGCTCCCGAACCCTCCCCAGAAACACACCTGCTCCCGAACCCTCCCCAGAAACACACCTGCTCCCGAACCCTCCCCAGAGACACACCTGCTCCCGAACCCTCCCCAGAGATACACCTGCTCCCGAACCCTCCCCAGAGACACACCTGCTCCCAAACCCTCCCCAGAGATACACCTGCTCCCGAACCCTCCCCAGAACACACCTGCTCCCGAACCCTCCCCAGAGATACACCTGCTCCCGAACCCTCCCCAGAGATACACCTGCTCCCGAACCCTCCCCAGAGATACACCTGCTCCCGAACCCCTTCCCAGAAACACACCTGCTCCCGAACCCTCCCCAGAGATACACCTGCTCCCGAACCCTCCCCAGAGACACACCTGGTGGGAGGAGACGAGGGGATTAAGATTCCTCCCCAGCCAGCAGCAGAATTGTTAGAAGAACAGAGACGCGATTAGAAAGAAACGGAAGGAAGGAAGGAAGGAAGGAAAGAAGAGAAAGGAAGAAAGGGAAAAGAAGGGAGGAGGGAAGGGAAGAAAAGGAAGGAAGGAAGAGAAATGGAGGAAGAAGGAAGAGGAAAGAAAGAGAAGGAAGGAAGAGAAAGGAAGGAAGGAAGGAAGAAGGAAAGAAGAGAAAGGAAGGAAAAATGAAGGAAGAGAAAGAAAGGAAGGAAGGAGGGAAGGAAGAGAAAAGGAAGAAAGGAAGGAAGAGGGAAGGAAGGAAGGAAGGAAGGAAGAAGGCAGGCAGGAAGGAAGGGAAGGAAGGAAGAAAAGGAAAAGGAAGGTAGAAGGAAAGGAGGGGGAGGAAGGAAGGAAGGAAGGAGGGAAGGAGGGAAGGAGGGAAGGAGGGAAGGAGGGAAGGCCAGTGGGCGTGATGAGGGCTTGGGTGTGGACGGTCCCGCACGCCGCCCTCCAGGGCTGGGGATGGATCCTGCGTGGGGCGTGGGGGGGCGTGGGGGGGGCGCGGGCGGCCGGTGTCCTTGGGCTGACCTCTGGCCTGGTCTTCCAGCACATTCCGCCCACCCTGGAGTCCCTGACGCGCTCCACGCTGCTGTGCCTGTCGGCCATCGGGATGATCTCCTACGCCACGCCCGTGTTCCTGGTGGCGCTGCTGCCGCTGGGCGTGGCCTTCTACTTCATCCAGAAGTACTTCCGCGTGGCCTCCAAGTCAGTGCTGGCCCTGGCCCTGCCCCGGGGGTGGTGGCTGCAGGGGGTGGCGCGGAGCCCGGGCTGGCGTTAGAGATGAGGTCGTCGGCCTGCACGGACTGTCTCTGGGACTTGAACTGAGGGCCCGGGCGCTGTCACTCCAGGCTGGCGCTCTACCACGTGAGCCACAGCACCACTTCTGGTTTTCTGGTGGTTCCTTGGAGATCAGAGTCTCACGGACTTTCCTGCCCAGGCTGGCTCCGGACTGCGATCCTCTAGATCTCAGCCTCCTCAGGAGCTGGGATGACAGGAAGTTCTGTGAGACTCTGATCTCCAGTGAACCACCAAGAAAACCAGAAGTGGCGCTGTGGTTCAAGCGGTAGAGCGCCAGCCTGGAGTGAAAGAGCTCAGGGAACAGCCCCCGGGGCCCTGAGTTCAAGACCCGGGACTGGCACAAATCAATCCACCAACGGACAAGCCCTTTTTGGGGCGATGTGACATGCCATCTGCCCGCACAGCGTGAATTCCGGCCATGGAAACGGGTGCTGTTCTAGTTGGTCGGGGGAAATCGGGGACACCCCCTTTGATAAGGACGCCCGTGGAGCAAACTTGGACTACAGGGGTCAGCACTGGACAGGGCGGAGCTCCGGGGAGTTCGGTGAGGGTCTCTGACCCTGGGGTCACGGGAAGCCTGAGTTTTCGCCCCCGGCCTGTCACCCTAGGGACCTGCAGGAGCTCGATGACAGCACACAGCTGCCCCTACTCTGCCACTTCTCAGAAACCGCCGAGGGGCTCACCACCATCCGAGCCTTCCGGTGAGTGTGCCCGGCTCTGCTGGCACGGGTGCAGGTGTGAACTGTGGAGGTGTGAACGGCGGATCCTGGGGACTACGAAAAGCGGGGTCACCCCCCCACAGTGGGGGTGCCAGCAGGCTCGTGCTTCGAGTCCTGGCTGCTCAGGAGGCTGAGATCCGGAGGATCGCGGTTCTGAGATCCGGAGGATCACGGTTCACAGCCAGCCAAGTCCGTGAGAGGGTTTATCTCCAAGGAAGCAGCAAAAGAGCCGGATGTGGGGCTGTGGCTCGAGGGGTAGAGCGCCACGAAGAAGCTCAGGGCGACAGCACCCAGGCCCTGAGTTCAAATCCCAGGACTGACAAACTAAAAATAAGCACATAGATGATCGCGCATGCGTGTGTGTGTGTGTGTGTGTGTCTGTGCGTGTGTGTGTGCGTGTGCAACGGTCCTGGGATCTGAACTCAGCCTGCGTGGCATCTCTGAGCTTTTTCTTCTTTTGCTCAAGGCCAATGCTTTACCGCTTGAGCCACACCTCCCCGTCCACGTTTCCCCTGGTCTCACTGGCGACCAGAATCCCACCGGGCCTCAAACCTCCACCCTCGCATCTCAGCCTCCCGAGTAGCTGGGATGACAGGCGTGAGCGCCGGCGCCCGGCCGACGAGAGGAGCTGGCTTCTCGGGGATGTTTCCAGATGGTGGCTGGTGGTATTTGTGAGCCACGGGGGGCTGTGTTTTATGGTGACTTTGGCTGTTTGTGTCTCTCCTCCGTGTGCGTCCGCCTCGCTCTCTCTCTGAGCTCTTCTGGAAAAAGTGAGCATCTACTACCTCCTCCCCTTGGCGCTGCTCTTCGCGTGTCTTTGAAGCACCAGAGGATCGCGGTTCCATCAGACGCGGGGTCGGCGGCCTGGCTTCTTTTTTTTAAAGAGGAAAAAAAAAAAAACCACGTATTTTATTATGTGTTTGCTTTGGTCTGAAAAACAGAAGGTCTTAGAATGTTCTAGAAGATTAGCTTTGCCTGGGGATGGAGAGATACGGGCAGCGGGTGTCACAGTTTCCATTAGGAAAAACATCTTGCTGCCAAGGAGAGACGCAGGAAGAATGCTCTCCCGCTCTCTCTCCCTCTCTCTCTCTCCCTCTCTCTCCCTCTCTCTCCCTCTCTCTCTCCCTCTCTCCCCTCTCCCTCTCCTCTCTCCCGCTCTCTCTCTCTCCCTCTCTCTCTCTCCCTCTCCCTCTCTCTCTCTCCCTCTCTCTCTCTCCCTCTCCCTCTCTCTCTCCCTCTCTCCCTCTCCTCTCCCCTCTCTCCCGCTCTCTCCCTCTCCCTCTCTCTCTCTCCCTCTCTCTCTCTCCCTCTCTCTCTCTCCCTCTCCCTCTCTCTCTCTCCCTATCTCTCTCTCTCTCTCTCTCTCTCCCTCTCCCTCTCTCTCCCTCCCTCTCCCTCTCTCTCTCTCCCTCTC